TCTCCTGGCGAAGGGGCAGAAATGCCTCTCCACATTGCTGCAGATCGCCGCCGCTTGGCGATCGCTGCTGCTTTGACTCAGGCTTGCGCAGACCCAAACGCAGTTTCTCCGCTGGGCGGAGCGACCCCACTTTCTGCTGCAGCCGCACATGGGGATCTGCGCATCGTTCAGCACTTGTTGCAGGCCCATGCCAGTCTGGATTTGCCAGGTTCGAACGGCAGAACGCCTTTGCTAATGGCCAGCATACATGGCCACCTTGGTGTAGTAGAGCACTTGGTCGAGGAGCATGCTGACGTCGACAAACCGGGGGTCGGTCAAGCAGCATTCACAAATCCGCTCTGGAGTGCTGCAGAATGCAACCATTCACGAATTGTGGCGACGCTTCTCCGTGCTAGGGCTGACGTCGACTGGAACAATGTAGAAGGCAGGACTCCCTTGTGGTGCGCCGTTGCCAATGGAAGCTTACAGTCTGCACGCTATTTGCTCAAGGCTGGTGCCAGCGTGAACTGCACGGATCAGCATGGGGACGCGCCATTGTGGGTAGCAGTTGCATGCGGGCAACCCGAAGCAGTCGAGTGTTTGATTGCAGCACTCGCTGATGTGAACCAAGTGGCCGGGAACGGCCAGTCCCCGCTGTGCACAGCGGCCCTGAGATGCGACCTACCTGCCGTCCGCCGGTTGTTGAGGGCTGGTGCCGACGTGAGCGACTGGCAAGGCAGATCGCCGGCAGACCTAACCATCAGCACGGAGGCGCATTATCATGCCCTGCTCCAGTCATGTCAGATTCACGCAATTTCCAATACTACTGCACAGCGAGGTGAAGGAAGAGCTGCACAAGCACGGTCCCAAGATGCTGCCACGAGACCAGCATGGCGGGGATTGAGCTTGAATCGGTTTCGGGCTTGGGGTTATTTTCGTTTGGAAAGTGTCAGGGATTTCTGGTGCCGTGTCGGAGAGTACGACACATATCCAAACATGCATGATCACCGCTTTTCCAATCTGTGTGGGACTTTCATGTGGAGAGAGGTCAAAGGTGGTAGTCTGACGTGAGGCTTGTATGAAAGACCGTCCAGTGGTGGCAGGCAAGCGACCTCGGTTGAAGCTTTCCAAAGATGGAAGTGCCCAGAAGAGAAGTCCAGGTCCGGGGCATGCTTGTCAGCAGATGCTTCCGTGTTTATGACGTCGCCCCAAACACCCAGATACATCCCCACATTCCGCCATCCTGACTTGACGGCCTTCTTCGTCCTGTGGTACTGCATGGCCCGGGGAAGCCCGGGAGTACTACTGCTACTGCTGCTACTACTGCCAGTACTGCTACGACTTCCTACTCCTACTCCTACCCCTACCACAACAACTACTACTACTGCT